CTAGCTATGTGGCTGGGTAAATCATCTTAACTTTTCTCAGTCCCAGTATTCTCACCTGTAAATGGGGATAATAATAGCACCTACCTCACAGGGTTGTTGTGAGACTCAAATAACACAATAGGTATAAAAAAATTACAAATCTTAAAACACCATATAAATGTTAGTGATGATGATGATGATGATGATAGTGATTGGTTTCCTTCTCTGTAAGAAGAGGATAATAACAAACACTTGTTGTGAAGAAAGTACATAATTATCAACTTGAAATGCTACAGAAATGTGAGGTTATTTTTAGGAGCAATATCCCCAGAGTTTCTGCCTGAAACCCTTCCCAGTTGGTCAGCTTAGCCCTGGTCAGACAAAATGTGGATGGAGGTAAGGTACAACATTTTCCCAGGAACTAGGAGTTGGGAGGGACAGGTATAATGATCTCAATTCCCTCCAGTTCTAATATTCTTTAAAAAAATTGATATTTTTGTTTTCATATTGCTTCTATTTCCAAATGCACCCCTCCCTTCCCTCCCTTCTGCCCTAACAAGTAAGCCATTCTTTGTCACAAAGTACTTTTATTTAAAAAGCAGTTCAGCAAAGCCAATAGATTGAGTGCTACAGTATATGCAATGTTCCATAGCCATAGTCCTCTTCCTCTGCAAAGAAGGGAGGGAAGTACATCCAATTTTTTAAAAAATAATTAATTAATTAATTTTTAGTTTTCAATATTCACTTCCATAAGATTTTGAGTTTTAAATTTTCTTCCCTTTCTTTTCCTCCCCTATCCCAAGGTGGCATGCAATCTGACATAGGCTCTACTTATCCATTTATATTAAGCATATTTTGGTAGATCCAACTCTTATGATTATGTGATGACTTATCTCTTTCTGCCTGGAGCTTTCCCCTTATTCCTCCCATAAGAGATTAGATTAGGAGAAACCAGGAAACCCCCAGCCACATTCAGAGCTATGGCCTAGTTCCTGGAAATTGCTCTGAAACAGATTAATCTTTGTTTTAGAGTATACCCCAAGTCTTCCCCTTCCCCCTGCCTGAGTCTCCAGGAAATTCTGATCCTGGTCCACTACCAATTGCACTTTCTTTGGGCACTGTCCAACATATTGGCTCTGGAAAACAGAAGCCAAGGACTCATCATGTGCAGGCGGGGTTTTCTGTTCCTCATCAGCCAGTTTCTCATCCTACTAGTACTTTGTTTATTAAGGCTCCATAATATCTCTGTGTGCAGTTGTAGAGCCAAGTTCCTCACCTAGTAGGCATCGCTTAGCTTTGCTGGCCTTTCATTGCAGGTGTGGATGGATGCAGGCACCCAGATCTTCTTCTCTTATGCCATCTGTCTGGGGTGTCTGACAGCCTTGGGCAGCTACAACAAATACCACAACAATTGCTACAGGTAACTTGGGAAGTGAGTCTCTGGACATATTTTGTCTCTCTATTACCTCTGTCTCTCCCCACCTCCCTACCATGAATGAAACGAGATTCCTTCTCTCCCTTAATCTCTTAACCTTCTCTATTTAACTTCTCCTGTCCTCTTATTATAGTCTAACATGTGCTAGAGAGGTATTATTGACTTATTCCCATGATTAGATTGTAAGCTTCCTGAGGGTAGGGACTAGGTGTAACTCATTTTTGTGCCTCTCACAGTGCCGTTTTACCTAAGTACCACTGATAATGAAAGATAATTTAAAGAATAAAACAACACCAAACCCTTCTAAACTTTTGCATGATGATGTACTGGTCAACACAAACAAAAAGAGTTGTGCCTGCCATCCCAAAGTTAAATGAACTACTTTAAAATGGTTTTATTGGACTCACTCATCTATGCAGCAAAATAGGGAGAAGACTTTGGAGTAGAGGTCAAAGACCTGTTGAGTTGAATGATAGCTGGTTATCTAAAATCTGAATTCAATTTTTGGTTTATGCCTGTTCGATGCTTTATATATTTTTGGTGCTGACGCATTTGGGCTGTAGACCTGTGATTTCATGGTTTAGGGAAAGTTAGAGAAATCCCTTTGCCTATTCTAGATCAGCATCTGTCCAGCAATTTGTAACTGAGGGCTGCTTGGGGCACTGAGAGATTAAGTGATTTGTAGGGTCAAATAGCCAGTGTATGTCAGAAGCAGGCCTTGAAACTAGGTCTTTCTGATTGTGAAGCCACTCTCTAGCCACTACATTGTACGCAGTAGGAGTTTAATAAGTGTTTTTTGAATATAACAGAACTGTCCCTCTGTACCATGCCAAGGAAAATTTGAAAGAATCTACCGATTTACTAAAATTTCCCCAGTCTTCTTTCAACTTATTCTAGCTATGTGGTGAAGTAAAACAAGCCCTCTTCAGGGTGAGGTGGTCATTAAGATCTGAGAACCCACAGGACTGAAAGAGCAGCACAGCTTGCAGGGGTCAGTGCGCCTTTTAAAAGAAGGCAGTTAGGGACAGCTAGGTGGTGCAGTGGATAGACCACCGGCCCTGGATTCAGGAGGACCTGAGTTCAAATCCGACCTCAGACACATAACATTTACTAGCTGTGTGACCCTGGGCAAGTCACTTAACCCCATTGCCTAGCAGAAACAAAAACAAAAAAACAACCCCTGCCTAAAAAACAAAAAAGCATTTATTAAGCATTTATTATATACTAGACTCTATGCTGGGCACAGTTTCTGATCTTGACTCTGCTCATCACTTCTGTAACCTTGAGGAATGATTTCCCCTCTTTGAGACTCATTTTCCTCACCTGTCAAAAGAGGGGTTCGGAACAGATGACCTCTGAGGTCTGCTCCAGGTCTAAATTCTATGATCTATTTTCTTACTTGGATGGATCTAAGAAAGCATGAGTGTGGACAAACCCTTAACTAGTGAAGATGGCAACTCACCTCTACCTCATTCTGTCTGATTCATTTTGAGTCTCTCATCAATCCTGTCTAGCAGATGTCTCATATTCCCATCTGAGGATTTTAATTTGGGGTCTGTGAACATTTAAAAAAATTGATAATCGTATTTCAACACAATTGGTTTACCTTGTAATTCGATGTATTTCGTTTTATACATTTCATAGGTTTCACCAGTTCTAGGACACAAAAAAAAGTTCAGAACCCTTGTTCTACTTCATCAACAACCAGTTGGCTGCTAGATGATGAATTATTTTGTCATGCAAAACATGGCCTATGCTCAAATAACTATGATTTAAAATAAAATCTAAGCACATTTGGAGCAGTGCAAAGCACTGCAAGAGATATGAGGAGAGGGATTACTTCCATTGTGAGGGTCAGGGAAGGCTTCCTGGAGGAGGTGGCACTTGGGTATTGAAGGGACTATTTTTTTATAATTGATTCCTTTAGTTCAGTTTAACAAGCTCTTATTAAGTAGCTAACATGTGCAAGGCCCTGCCAATAGCTCCCCCTCCCCCAAATAAATCAAGACAGTGGGCAAGTCCCTACCCTCGAGGTGATGTTTGAAGGTGATTAGGTGTTTGACTTTTTCAGGAAGGTGATTAGCTGGGCTTGTCCTACTTCTGTCTCTTCCCTTCCCCCAGGGACTGCATCTCACTCTGCTTCCTGAACAGTGGCACCAGCTTTGTGGCTGGTTTTGCTATCTTCTCCATTCTGGGCTTCATGTCTCAGGAGCAGGGGGTGCCCATATCTGAGGTGGCCGAGTCAGGTGAGTGGCACCGTCCTGGTTGTGGCAGAGGGAATGCCCGAGCACTGAAGTGGGGCTAGCCCTGATACCAGCAGTGTGCTTGCCAGTTGGGATTTTCCTGTGGAAGTCTCAATGCTGCCATATTGGAGATAATGTAGTCCAGCCATCTCTAAGTGGAGGGAAGTTGAGGAATATTAGCGTGAGGTTTAGGGGAGACCAAAGGGCAGTCCAGAGGGTGTGCAGTCAACAGAGCACTTATTAAGTGCCTACTGTGTGCTAAGCACAGTGATAAGTGCTGGGGATATAAAAAAAGACCCCCTAAAAAGTGCAAAACAATAGTCTCTGCTCTCCAGGAGTTTCAAGACTAAGAGAGGACACAAAATAAAATGATATCTAAAGGATAAATTGGAGACGTTTCTCAGAGGGGAGGCATTAACATTAAGGAAGACTGGGAGAGGCAGAAGGTGGGACTTTAGCAAAGACTTGACCAAAGCCAGGGAAGTCAGAAGGCATAGGTAAAGGAGGGAGACAATTCCAGGCATGGAGAGAAGCCAGTGAAAATGCCTGGATTTGAGATCTGGAGTATCAGGTGCAAGATATAAGAAAGGTAGAAAGGGGCCATTTTATGGTAGAGAATTTTAATAGCCAAATAGGATTTTATATTTGATCCTGGAGGTGATAGGGAACCCCTAGAGTTGGAGGGGATGGCATTATTGGCCTGTGCTTTAGGAAGATCAATTTGACAGCTGAATGGAGGATGGACTGAAGTGAGTAGAGCTTTGAGACAACCAGCTTGCTCTTGTAATAGTCCAGGCATAAGATGACAAGGGCTGCCCCAGGGTGGTGGCCGTGTCAGAGGAGAGAAGGGGGCATCTAGGAGAGAGGTGGAGGTAGAAATGATAGGACTTGGCCACTGTCTGTGTATTTGGTTGGGGGGGGTGAGATTGAGGAGTTCAGAAGGACTCCTATGCTTCAAGCCTGCATGACCAGGGGGATGGTGTTGCCCTCAACAGTAATAGTTTGGAAGAGGGGAGGATTTGGGAGAAAGACAATTGAGTTCAGTTTTGGATCTGCCATGAGATATCCAGTTGGAGATGTCCATTAGTTAATGGAGAGGTGAGGTTTGGAGATTAGGGCTGGACAAACAGATTTGAGAATCATGTACATAGAGATGATGTGTAGGCGGGGCTATCTTACATACACATAGACTACTAAGGCCATGTACTGTAGTGGAAAGAGTAGTGGCCTGGGAGTCAGAAGACCTGGGAGAACCCAGGTCCTAGTGTTGCCATGGGCAGCTATTGTGTTGTTACAACTCTAGTTACTTGATCTCTTTGGGTCTCAGTTTTCCTTTCTTGTCAAATGAGGGGGGTTAGATTAGTAAGATACTCACTAAAAAAAAGTCCCTTTTTAGCTCTGATTCTCTATCTTCTATCTAGTACTTTAGTTGTAGGGGCAGAAGCTGGGGATTGTGGGAGGTGGGAATGTGGTAGGGTCTCAGAATTAGGGTGGGAGGGGTTTGCAGAGGCCATAGAGTCCAATCCTTTCATTTAACAGATTGGAAAACTGAGGCCAAGAGAAGTAGTGGATTGTAAAAGGTCACACCTGTGGCAGATTCATAATTCCAAATCAGACTCCTTCCCTCACTAAGCCACACTGCCTCCTTCTCTGGGATGGTGCAGATTTGGAGGGGACAGGTTGTGCCCATATCCACATATACTGATTTTGATTTTTTGGAGTTGAGTATCCTGTCCTTTCTCTTCTCTTAACCCTTACCCAGGACTAGACTCTTTTATTTTTCTTCTTGCTATAGGCCCTGGATTGGCATTCATCGCATACCCCAGGGCTGTGGTGATGCTGCCCTTCTCTCCTCTTTGGGCATGTTGTTTCTTCCTCATGGTTGTGCTGCTTGGGCTGGATAGCCAGGTATATATAGTTCATTACCTCCCACCTGAAGACTGACAGGTATGTGTGTGTGTGTGTGTGTGTGTGTGTGTGTGCATGTGTATGTTACACAGAGACAGAGAGAGACAAAGAGAGAGAAGGAGAGAAAGAGAAAGAAGAGAGAGAGAAAGAGAGAGAGAGAGGAGAGAGCAAGCATGTGAGTAGATGCGTGGGTGGATGGAGGGAAGTAAAAGGGAGAAGTGGAAGGGCGTGGGAGGAGAGAACTTTCTGCAGAAACTCGAATTGGAGAATGGAAGAGAGAACATCAAAAGTGCAGTGTCCCTCCCCAGTAGCACTAGGATCTTTGGATATGAGGCTGGGCCTTAATGAGGCAAGGTCAATTCATGTGAAGAAGATGCTGGGAGTCCTGCTTGAGGAGTAGGGAGTTGGCTAACCCTGGGGACAGGATGGGCTGATGAAACTTATCTTAAGTGGTCCTCCTCTCTAATTCTTTTGCCCTACCCTCTAGTTTGTGTGTGTGGAGAGCCTGGTGACAGCCTTGGTGGACATGTACCCCAACAAACTTCGAAAGAAGAACCGCCGGGAAACCCTTATCCTGGTGATTTCTGTCCTGTCCTACCTCATCGGGCTGATCATGCTCACTGAGGTGAGAGGCCAATGGAGCTACAGGGCGGAATGCACTAGGTCAGACCCCAGGGAAGGGCAAACCTCACCAAACAGATGGGGCAAATTCTGAGAGTATCAGGTCTTTCCAGCATGGGGCACCATTGCTTCTTTTTCTTTATCTTGGAGAAATGCAAAGTAAAGGTTATACCATAGGCTGTCATGGTAGTCCGAGAAATGTAGTAAAAGGGGATGGCTTGGGTGATCCTAGAAGAAGAAAGCCTGAATATCAGACCTGGCAAGAAATTTGGTTAGAGAGAGCTCACTTCACTGGTCGTGGAGATAGAGGGCTTCAGAGCTGGGGCCACTGGCAAAGTCTCACCCTTTTTACCCAAATCAAGCTTCAAGGGAAGCAGGAACTGTTTTATTCTATGTGATGATCTAAGGAAGTAGGAAATAGATGTGTCTTGGCACTCCTTAATTGAGGGCCTCTAAGGTACATTCCAGCTTTAAATCTATGATCCATTGATAATGAAGAGGGATTTTCTGTATGTCAACTGCTCCTCAGAAAGAAAAGAACCAGCTGGCCCTTAGAATATCCAGGCAAATGTTCAGACGCTTTCAGCTGTAACCTGACCCTGGCTAAATGACTATATGATGGTAGTGGTGACCTCTCCTAACCTGAGTCCACCGAAAGGGAAGAGTGTGTCTGTTTTTATGCGTCTGGACTGAAATAGACTGAGTTAAAGGATGTCCTATGGGCACGGAGGTGGACAGGTCCCCCAGAAGTCCCTCTCCTCTATTTCTTCTTTGCCAGGGTGGAATGTACGTGTTTCAGCTGTTTGACTACTATGCAGCCAGCGGCATGTGCCTCTTATTTGTAGCCATCTTTGAGACACTCTGTGTGGCCTGGGTATATGGTGAGTGACTCAAAGGACCCCTTCAGTAGCCAGGGTTCCCCAACTGAGGAAAAACTCAGGCATCAAGTGCAAATGTGCTGATAAGCACATTGCCCCAGAATCCTTCCGACAAGGTCATTGATATTCTGGACTCCTCATGGTTGGAAGGGCCAATCCAGGGATCATTTCATCCAACCTTCAGCCTCTATACTATCCTAAAGATACAGATCTCTGTCCTTTCCTCAAAATTCATTGAGGAAAGAAATCTAACTAGACTCCCTCAACTGCCCTCTTTAACCACCTTGGAAGTTAGAAAGTTATGCTATAAATCTAAATTATGTTGGTCTTACTGTAGATTAGACCCATTACCTCTTGTTGTAATAGCTTTATACTATCTCGACATCTCCCATATTTGGGGCCCTTTGCATGGCTCCCAGCCTGCTATCCTGAAGCTCCTTCCCTGACGCCACTGAGTGCAAAGGCAAAAATGAACAACTTCTCCCTCTTTCCCCTCTTGTCCCTCCCATCTTCTTGTAGGAGCTGAGAGATTCTATGATAACATTGAAGACATGATTGGCTATCGACCATGGCCTGTTATCAAATATTGCTGGATATTCCTCACACCAGCTGTATGCACAGTAAGAAAACCTCGGGGGCAGCTGGGTGGTGCAGTGGGTAGAACTCCAGCCTTGGAGTCAGGAGGACCTGAGTTCAAATCTGGCCTCAGATACTTGACATTTACTAGCTGTGTGACCCTGGGCAAGTCACTTAACCTCAATTGCCTCACCAAAAAAGAAAAAGAAAAAAGAAAACCTCAGAGGAAGAAGAAAAACTCAGAGGTTTTCCCTTGAGGAAAACCTCAAGTCAGGTTGAAGGGCTGAGGGCACAAGAAATAGAAACAGTTTGAGGAGGGAACATTATTCCTACCAGGAAACAACTTTTCAGATGATCTCAAAGCTTTTGGCTCAGAGGAGTTCCTGTCATAAGTAAAAGGAAGGAGCTGAGGACAAGAAGAGTCACATAGATTGTCTGAGGCCACAGTGCCTAGTGACACAGCCAGAATAAGGACCTAGGGGTGTGAGGTTCATTCAATATTTATTTTGTCTGCATTGCCTCAATCTGCTAATAGTACATGTCTAGCACCCCCTGTGGGTGGAGCCCTGAACTGGTGTGAGATACAGAGAAAGAGGAGATAACCAACAATCTCTTGAGAAACTCATAGATAAGATTGACTCATGACTCATATAACATTAACATTTAAGCAAGTACAAATAAATGTAGCATAAACAATGGATACCATGAGTTAAGTGGACTATGGAATAATAGTGTAATTTGAGTCAAGGAAAAATTAATCAGAAAATATTTCAAGGAGGAGGTAAATTTTTTTTAACAGAGTATAGAAGGAGGTGGGGTGGGGAGAGGTGAGGAGAGACGATGATTAGCAGGGAGAGAATTGACAGGCAGAGGGTGGAGAAGGTTCATAGAATGGTTGTGGTGGGAGCAGAAGTTGGGGGAATGGATGGATTGGTGGGGGGTGAGGGGGGTGGGAGTGGCAGTGGGGGTAGAGGGTGATGTGTAAGTATCCATGGGCTTTGCCTCCATTGACCTCTTTCCTTTCCCATTCCTTACTCTTAGGCTACCTTCCTTTTCTCCCTGGCCAAGTATACCCCACTGACCTACAACAAAAAGTACACTTACCCATGGTGGGGAGATGCTCTGGGCTGGCTCCTGGCACTGTCCTCCATGATCTGCATACCAGCCTGGAGTGGTTACAAACTGACAACTCTCAAAGGCTCCCTGAGGGAGGTAGGGAAGGGTAAAGCTAGGGGAGGTGGGCAGGGTGCACTCTAAGGAACTTAGATTAGGATTTAAGGAAGCATGAAGGTTTGTGGGTGGAGTGGAAGGCAAAATGGGTGGAGTCATGTTGACTGTCTTAGTAGGAAGCCTGCCTGCCATGAATTAGCATGTGACAACACAGCCAGTGAGATCAGTAGATGCTGGTATTAAGGGATGATAGGCTAATAATTGGAAGGGACCTTAGAGGCCATATAGTTCAATCCATATCAGAAATATGAATCCTCTCTCTTCAACATCCTTGACAAGTTATCCAGCTCATTCTAGATCACTTTCAGTGAAGAGGAAGTTATTGTCCCCCAAGACAACCTATTTCAGTTTTGGCTATTTGTAATAGTTAGGAAGTTCTTCCTTATATTGACCTGAAATCTACCTTCCCATAACTTCCAACCATTAGTTCTAGTTATGGGGATAGGCAAAACAAAACAAAACAAAACAAAACAAAACAAAACAAACATCTACCTGCTCTGGAAAAGAATCACTTAGAAATTTGAAGATGGTGATTATACATCACCCTGTCGCTATCCCTAGTCTCTTCTTCCTAAATATGCACATGATTTACATTCTATTTCTTTGCCTCATCATCCTCTTTGTATGCTTCAGCATGTCAACGTCCCTGCCAAATGCAGCATAAATTCATATTTGTTTATTGGGGGCCACCATGATACGCCATTTATTTCTGAGATTACATTTCCAACAAAACCTCCAAGGAGTCTACATTGGGCAAGCTAGGAAGTAAAGCTGTGGTTATAAGGATGGGTTTAAGGAATATGGCAGAAGACTTGTTGGGTGAAGCCAGAGCGTGTGCTTAGGTCTGGAGAGGACTTTGAGAGAAGAGTTTGCCAGATTAGAGGATTGAACCTGATGTAGAGGAGAGGCAGGGTGTCTCACTGCTAATGTCGTACCCTTTCATAGCCGCTACCTTTTATCTTCCAGAGAGTTCGTCAGCTCATATGTCCAGAAGAGGACCTGCCCCAGCGACTGTGTACAGCACCCCCTACTCCCTCCACTACTCGGGCAGCACTTCTTAGGCTCACAGAACTGGAGTCCCACTGCTAGAGACCAACTGAGACTGTGACCTGGAATGCACTGCTGGTTTTTCAAAGTCCTGTGTATTCAGCCTCCTGCCTTGTCCTAGATAGGGCCGCAGAGGGGAGCAGGCAAAATTGCTGTACCCTTTTTGGAGGGAGGAGCTTTCTAACCACGCCCAATCCCACTTCACCCCAGAATCACAGCAAAAAATACCCTGGGGGTGTCCTGCACCATTTTTTTCTGGACTGGACCTTCTCCCCTGTTCATGCCTGGTGGGAGAGGAAAGAACTGAGTGCAAATTAAGACTTCAGCTACTTAAGGGAGGAGAACCTTTTTTTGGGGGGGGGGGAGTGGGACAGAATGGATAGAGAGATTTTACCAAAAAAAGGCCCCTCTCCCTTCATTCCATTAAATCCACATTCTTTGCACTGGTCTACCTACAAAAGCTCAGCCTTGTCTCTGTTTCTTCGTCCCTCCATGCATTTCCTTGCTTTCCTTGCTTCATGATGCTGTCTTTCCTCCCTCCTCCCCACCCCCCACTCCATGAAACTTGTAGGAATAGGGAGCAGCTATGCAGGGTTTATGAGGTCTAGCAGTCCCTGTGACCTTCACCACAAAACAAGAGTTGAGTGGTTCTGCTATCTCTGCTTTATGCATTAACATTGTTGTATCTATCCTGAAATTTCAGAGTCCTTCCCTTTCTTTGATTCTCCTCTTTTTGCTTAACAGCTACAAAAATCCTGGGGACACAAAGAATTACTAGACAAAAGATATGGCCTGTGTCCTTGAGGGATTTTTAATCTAGTTGGGGAGCAAGAGGTTAAGAGAATCCTGTATTCTCCATAATCCACACACTGAAGCATCTGTCCTAGGACCATTAAGAGTTGGCTGTAGGGGCACCTAGGTGGCGCAGTGCACTAAACCCCATTTCCACCTACCAAAACCAAATGAAACATGTTACATCATAGCAAAGCTTAGGATATTTAATTCAAACAGAATCCGAAGTAAATAACAAGAAATTAAATCATATCCCATATATCCCAGCAGCGTGAAATCAACGTGGCAGAGGGGAGAAAGCTCTGGAGACCTGGGTTCCTGACTCAGCCACTACTGCCTTCCTTCTCTAGCTCCTCTCATCCCCATCTCCCTACCTCAGTTCTCCTTCATAGAGTCTTTAAGAGAGAGATATATAGAGTTTATGAGGTTTTACAGTCCCCATGATTAGATTAGGTGGATGGATGGATGGATGGATGGAAGGACACAAGTTGGAATGTTTCATCACCAAATAAATTCTTGGACGAGAGGAAACCATCTTCTCTCCTCTCTACTCTTCCCTTAAAGTCTCTTTATTCCTTTGAAATAAAAGGGGAGGTACTGGGAGAAGAATTACTGGGAAAGTGAAGGATTGATCCTTATACAGGGAAAGTAAAAATTGGTATCTCATTATACTTTCCATCAAGATTTACCAAATGCCTACTATGTCCTATGGATGCAGCATCTCAGAATCAGATGGAACCTCAGAAAACATCTAGTACAGCTCTCTGTATGACATTCCTGACAAGTGGTTGTGCAACCATCCCTTGGAAACGGCTACTTTTTTACTTAAAAAAAATTTTTTTTAGGCAATTGGGGTTAAGGGACTTGCCCAGGGTCACACAGCTAGTAAGTGTCAAGTGTTTGGTCTGAGGTCAGTTTTGAACTCAGGTCCTCCTGACTTTAGTGCCGGTGCTCTATCTACTGCACCACCTAGCTGCCCCTGAAAACTGCTACTAAGGGACAACCTGATTTCCCGTCCCTGAGACTTTGATGCTCTTTTCCTTACCTAATCTTAGTGCATATTCTTTGCTTCATGTCTCCTTTGCCATTTTCACTCTTTATCTTTTATTATACTTATCTATGTATATGTAATATCTATGCCCTATTTGGTAGAATGTAGGTTCTTTGAGGGCAGATTCCTTGGTTGTTTTTTATCTGGGCCTTAGATGTAAAGGCAGGAATTAGATAAAGAGGAGATAGGAAGGGCATTTCAGGTAAGAGTAGGAGAGGTGATGAAGAAAGTTGTGGCCAGGGGCAGAAATATATATTTCAGATTTTAGGACTAAGGAGTTACAGGTATAGGTATAATAGTAGTGATAGGGTTAGGGAGATAATTTCCTGTCTTACCCTCTCCTCTTTTTTCTTTTTTCTTTTTTTGACACTCTTTGCTATTCAACTCATCCATGGTTATGGGTTGTCACTGGGGGATAAGTATAATTGAAATCTTTTGCTGGTCAATGGTTTTAAATTTCTCTATTCAGCTAAACAGTTTGCTGAAGCTGATCTCAGGGATTAAAAATTATTCTCTTCCCTATTCCTCCTAAGCCTTTTAGGAGGGCTACTGATTAGAGTTCTGACAGGGAATAGAAAGTACCACCAGAAATAGCAAGAGGTGAAGAGAATCCTGTATTCTCCATAATCCACACACTGAAGCATCTGTCCTAGGACCATTAAGAGTTGACTGTAGGGGCAGCTAGGTGGTGCAGTGGATAGAGCACCGGCACTGGAGTCAGGAGGACCTGAATTCAAATCCAGCCTCAGACACATAACACTTACTAGCTGTGTGACCCTGGGCAAGTCACTTAACCCCATGGCCTAGCCAAAAAAAAAAAAGAAGAGTTGGCTGTATCTGCAGGTATTATCCTCTCAACTCTATTGCCTTCTAAAGCTTTCCTGATCTGTTTCCTTGAGACCTCACAA